AGTCACTTGTAAGATTACTTGTGCATTGTTAGTCATAACAGTTGTTGTGTGTTTGTAATAATTTAATTATAGTGGATTAAGTCCTTGTTGAGAAAGGCGAAATCACCTTGACGGGTGGACTGGAGTAGTTTGAGTTCAAACGAACCAGGATAAAAATAACCTTGTCCTTCCATTATTGATCTTGTCCCTGGTACCAGACCTGTCTCTATGGAACCATACAAGATGTCGACATCTGAGTTAGCAGAGTTTAAGAAGTAATTAGAAGACTTACTTGAAAAGAAAATTGTGGGACCAAGTGTATCACCTTGGGGAGCTCCGGTGTTGCTAGTGAAAAAGAAAGACGGTAGTATAAGATTGTGTGTAGATTATAGACAATTGAATAAAGTGACAATAAAAAACAAATATCCACTTTAGAGAATAGATAACTTGATGGATCAATTGATAGGTGCACACGTGTTTGGCAAAATTGACTTAATGTCGGGTTATCATCAAATTTGAGATAAAGATGATGATATTTAGAAGACGACTTTCAGGACTTGGTATGGACATTATGAGTATTTGGTGATGCCATTCGGTGTTTCTAATGCACCCGATGTATTTATGGAATATATGAATATAATCTTTCATAAGTATCTGGACAAGTTTGTGGTGATCTTTATTGATGATATTTTGATTCTCTAAATTAGAAGAAGAGCGTGCTGAGCATTTGTAAATTGTATTGCAAGTGTTTAAGGAGAAGAGGTTATATGCTAAGTTGTCAAAGTGCGAGTTCTGCTTAGAAAAAGGTGAGTTTTCTTGGTCACATTATTTTAGGTGATTGTATTGATGTAGATCTATCCAAGATGGATGCAGTGTTGCAATGTAAGGCTCTAAAATTAGTTACAAAGATTAAAAGATTTTTGGGTTTAGCTGGTTATTACAGAAGGTTTGTCGAGGGCTTTTCTAAGTTAGCACTTTCGTTAACTCAACTGACTTGCAAAGGCAAAGCATTTGTGTAAGATGTTTAGTGTGAGGAAAGTTTTACTGAGCCGAAGAAGAAATTGACGACGACCCCGATTTTGATATTGCCTAACCCAGAAGAATCTTTTGTTGTGTATTGTGATGCGTATAAATTGGGTTTAGGTGGTGTGCTTATGTAGAAAGACAAAGTGGTGGCTTATGCGTCAAGGTAATTGAAGATTAATGAACAAAATTATCCTACTCGTGATTTATTATTGGCTGCAGTTGTGTTTGTTCTAAAGATTTGGAGGCATTAACTTTATGGCTCCAGGTTTGAGGTGTTTAGTGATCACAAGAGCTTGAAGTACTTGTTTGACAAGAAGGAACTGAATATGAGACAACAAAGGTGGTTAGAACTGTTAAAGGATTATGACTTTCGCTTGAATTACCATCCAGGTAAAGCTAATGTTGTAACTGATGCTTTGAGTTAGAAATCTTTGCATATGTCTTCTATGATGGTTAGAGAGCTAGAATTGATTGACTAGTTCAGAGATATGAGCTTAGTCTGTAAGTTAACACCACAGAGCGTAATGTTAGGAATATTGAAGATTAATAATGATTTCCTGAATAATATTAAGAAGATAAGAAATTGGATGTGAAGTTGGTAGATGTGATGCTTGTGAATAATCAGTCTGAAGACAGTGATTTTAAAGTGGATGTGTAAGGTATGTTAAGATTCTGCGACCGAATTGATATTCTAGATGACTCTGAGTTGAAGAATATGATTTTGGAAGAAAGTCATAGAAGCAGTTTGAGTATCCATCTGGGAGATACTAAAATGTATCAAGACTTGAAGAAGTTATTTTGGTGGCCTGGATTGAAACACGATCTGGCGTAGTTTGTGTATGCATGTTTGACTTATCATAAGTCGAAAGTCGAACATCAGAAACCTGCAAGATTAATGAAACTGTTAGATGTTTAGGATATAAATGTGATAGTATATCGATGGATTTTGTGACAGGATTGTCGAGTACTCCAAAAGGACACAATATGATTTGGGTGATTGTTGATAGGTTAAGGAAATTGGCTCATTTCATTCCGATTGATATCAGTTTTCATGTACCGAAGTTGACAAAGATTTACATCTGCGTGATTGTAAAGCTTCATGGTGTTCTGTCGAGTATTGTTTCTGATAGTGATCTGAGGCTTACTTCTGAATTTTGGAAAAGTTTGCAGGACGCGGTTGGCTCCAAGATGAGATTGAGTTCTGCGTATCACCCACATACAAATGGTCAAACAGAGAGGACTATTCAATCATTGGATGATCTGTTAAGAGCCTGTGTTCTTGAGCAGGGAGGTACACGAGATAATTATCTTCCCCTGATAGAGTTCACTTATAACAATAGTTTTTACTCTAGTATCGGTATGACACCTTTTGAGGCATTGTATGGTCGGAGGTGTAAAACGCCTTTGTGTTGATATGAATTCGGTGAGAGTGTAGTGCTTGGACCTGAGATTGTTCGGCAGACTATGGAGAAGGTGAAGTTAATTCAGGATAAGATGAAGATTTCACAATGTAGACAAAAGAGTTACCATGATAAGAGGAGGAATGATCTTAAGTTTCAAGAAGGATACCATGTATCTTGAGAGTCACTCTGACGACTAGTGTTGGACGCACTTTGAAATCAAGAACGCTCACTTCTCGATTTATCGGTCTATATCAGATTTCAGACAAGGTGGGGACTGTTGCACATAGGGTGGCCTTGCCACCTGTTGCACCCTAAATTTCGCCCATAATTTTTTTAGTCGCATTAACATGCATACTTGGCTTCACCAGGTCACAATCTTTAAAAAGCATATTCATTCATCATATTTGCATCATTAGTCGTATTTAAGTTGACCAAAAGTCAGTTTAAATCGACATTTGCACCATTTTATAGTTGAAAAATATTTGAAATTTTACTTCATACATTTTTATCTCTTTACTCGCTTCTTGCATTACATTAAGTTGTTTATATATTGATAATATTAATATTTCGGTTCTACAGACAAATCATTAAAAACGATTCGACACTGTGCATAAAATTAGCGGGGAAATATTTTAAGTTTTCATCTTTTACTGGCTGTTTTATAAATCTACGTTGCGCGTAGATCATGTCGGTATGCTCGCTTTATTTTTTCGGTACAATTTTCAATCTCTTTCTTAATCGTCGTCTGTGTAGCCGAATATTTTTATTCCCATTTTATTTCAATTTTGATCATTTGCAATCTTTTTTATTAATCTTTGTGGTCTGTAGTTTACTATTGATCAATGCATCTTCATGCACATTCTTCTACTGTTATACCTAGGCATTTCCTTATTTTATTTCATTAGTTTCTCCATTTTAGTGTGTTTTCATATTTAAGTTCGTTTCTAGCCTTATTTGATTTTCGTATTTTATTTTAAACATTAGAAGCTTTCAATAAAAAATCATAACTAGAGCTATATGAGTCGGATTGATGCGTTGTGATATTCATTGGAAAGTTGAGAGAAAGAGCTACAACTTTCATGTTAAAGCCAGAAGCTGATTTAGACTGTAGCATACTTGAATAATTCGTTGAAGTTTCAGACATTAGAAACATTTTATTTTGGGTCAATTTTATGGGTTTGGTTTGTATTTTCCGACCCGGCTCGGATTGTAAGTGAAACCCTTAGGTTGTTAAAACACTTCTGGCCGCATTACTGTGATTTTATCGAGTTTACTATTCATGAAATATTTGGAAACTTTTGTACAAATTCCCATGGAGAACTAACTGATCCAGACAATTTGTTGTATTCAGGTTCCAATACCTTGAGGTTATAATAATTCTAATTCGGTTTTATTCCTTTCAATATTAATCTATGTCTCTTGTTTGCTTAATTCGATTTGCATAGATTATACTGATTTAATTCGATTAATTGTATGATCCTAACCATAGTCACGTTATCGTTTGCTTAATTCGTTATCATGTTTGTTTAGTTCATGTTTGCTTAATTCATAAAACTTAATCCAGTTTGCTTAATTCAGATAATAGGAACATACAATTTATACTAACAATTACGCTTGTCAGTAGATATTATAATCGAATAGGAATAGATAATCTGTTTAGGAGGTTGGAGTTACAATAGTCGATGATAGGTATGGACCGAATCAACAGATTGACTTTTCAACTTAATTTGATAATCACTTTTTTGTGTTATAAATCGATCCTAAAAAATAACCCCCTCTCCAATTAGATTTCTATTAGTTAATAATAATTTCAAGAATCTTTGCGATACGACTCGAGTCATTGTCGTTAAACTATAATTTTCAAAAATACTCATTTTTTATCCGTGCGCGACAATAAATCAACTACAATATGTCTATTTTATTTTTCTAATTAAAAACTTACACAATTGTTGTTCGCTTCGATCCCTTTTAATTTTCAATATTTATTTTGTTTTCATTTAAGTTTACTATGTATTTTCATTTTTCCATAAACCAAAGGCACCTTGTGTTGTTTTTTATTGTAACGTTATGTATTTCTTTTATTTTAGTTTTAATAATAATTATATATATGAAATTTTATGAAACCATATTACTAAATAATTAAGGTTTAAATAATGTTTTATTTTATGTAAGTTTGTGTGTTTTTGTTTTTTTTCCCTTATATCTTATTTTTCTTAGGAATAGTCTTTGAATATTAAAATTCTTTTAGTGTTAATCTCTAAGATAAAAAACCGTAGAAAAAATTAAAAGAAAATTCGTAGAAAACAAGCAGATTTTGACTAAAATAAAAAAGATTTTAATAATTAAGAATCATTTCCAACAAAAATAAAATACAAACCCAAAATAAAAACCACTTCAAGATTAAAAAAATATTTAAACCTTAGTTAATGTATATACTAAACATGCTAACGTTAAAAGGGATCAAAATGAGCGCTACAGTTTATTAACCAAGGACATTGTTGTCTGAGAAATAATGTGAAGAAAACCTAGTCTTCATTGTATATATATAGTAGCGTGAAGAAGGCTGATAGGGGGAATCAATTTCATTATCAGATGCGCCATCTTTCCATCACCAATGACAAAAGAAATAGATCGGAGATTCATTTGTTTTCTCTCTTCCATCATTCACCTTTCTGTCATCTCCGCGATACCCTTCCATTTCACGACCATCACCCTTCCGTGAACAACAGCCGCAGCACAAACTCACCGTCGCCAACATCACTTCCGCGACATCCTCATCACCTGTTCTCCACCGTCTTCACCCAACATCCGTATGATCATCCTCAGCAACCCACAGCAACATCCGTAACGGTCTAACACCGGACCATACTCCATCTGTACCTCCACTCCGAAGTAGCTGTCACGCGAAATTTTAAACACCACTGCTCTGCCTTTGTACTAAAGTTCAACACCGACAAGTTTGACACGTCACTGTTCGGTAAATTTCTATATCACTACTTTTGTGTAGCTCAATTTGTTGAGTTGTTTTGATGTCATTATGCTATTATGATGAAATTGATGTCATTGTTGAGTTGTTGATGATTAATTTGAATGGCAGAGCTTTGAATTAATTGTGTTGAATTTGAATTATGATTAATGGTTTTAGATGGAGGGATGAAGTTGTGATGTTAATAACATGTTGTTAGTGTCAAATTGGTAATTGGTAATGGAATTAAGTTTGTTCTTGTTGTTTCTTGTGAATGATAACATGATTTTGTTGTTGAGAGTGTTTAATTAGCATTGAGTTGGTTTGTTGTTGTTGTTCTTGTGAATGATACCATTTTGTTTGAGATCAATTTGAAATAGATATTAATATTGTTTGGATACAATTTGATGTATAGGTGTTAATACCTTTCTTTTACATAACTGACCCTCGAACCTTGATCTCCTATTCTTTTGTGGGTTTTATTCGTTCTTTTCTCATTTTTCTAATGTAAATAATAAAGTGCGGTGACGACTTTCACTAATATGAGTTAAGTTAGTTAATGACTTAATCTCAAATTTTTACCGCTATATTTCGCTACGTGTGACACCACCTAACCTGTCGAATATGCATGACGTGTTCTATGTTTCGCAACTTTGAAATTACATTCAGATCTATCTCATGTGATCCCGATGGATGATGTACAAGTACGGGATAATCTTACTGTTGAGATCGTGTTTGTGAGAATCGAGGATCATGAAATGAAGAAGCTGAGGAGAAAGGAAATTTCTCTTGTGAAAGTAGTTTGGGAAGGAGATGACAGAGAGAGCGCGACGTGGAAATTAGAGGGTAAGATGCGAAAGTTTAATCCGGAGTTGTTTACACCAGGTAATTTTCGAAGACGAAAATATTTTAAGTGGGGAAAAGTTGTAACACCACGATTAATTATTGAATTATTTTAATAAATTAATTATTTGATGTTGTGTATTTATATGTGTTAGTGAGCATTTTTGTTAAGATGTGATGCCTTGTTGTGGGGTAGTTACCTTAGAAATTATCAATGTTGAGGTATTGGGAGTGTATAACTAATAGTATAGACACTTGGGGATGGAAGGATACTATTAATACTATTATTATTTGAATTAAAATATTAGAATAATATGGTGATAATAATAATTAAATAATTGATTTTAGTTATTATTAAGTAGAAGGGCATAAATAGAATAAGATATTAAGGGTCCAAGGGTTAAAGTAGTAAAACAAGGAAAAGTGAAGGGTTTTGTAAAGAGGCAGATCTTAGAACGAGAAAGAGGAGAAGAGGAGAATAGTGCACCAAGAGGCTAGGGCAAGAAAATTCATTGTTGAGGCTTAGGAACCGTTAATCCAAGGTAAACTCTCTAAGGATATTATATAATGATGAGTATGTAGGAGTTTAATTTGTTTATCACCATTGATAGAGATTTAGATGTATGTAGGTTTGTTTAGGGTATTATGGTGAAATTGATGAAATATGTAATGTTGTTTTGCCATGATGTGATGTGTGTAAAGCCTATCATGATGTGTTGTTGTTGTATTGTGAAAATATGTGTAATTTGGTGAGTTTTGGGAATGTATTGTGTTGAAATCATAGGAGAATTGAGATTGGTATGGTGCAGAAATCGAGGAGCGAGGCTGGTCGCTCTTGCTTCGCCGACCGAGCCTCAGGCGAATGGTCTTCTTCATCGGGCGAGCTTTAGGCGGCAGAACTATTTCGAAAACTTTAAAGGGTCCTAACTTGAGTTTCTAGACTCTATTTGACGTGTCGTTTGAAGCATAGGAAAGCTAACGCAATGAACTATATTTTGGTGGAATCAAATGAGTAAGATGATGTCTGTTTCAGTATTTATGGAATGATAAGTTGGATAATGTGTGACGAATATATTATGAAAAATGTATTATGATAGCTTGGTGTTGTTATAATGATGATACATGATAGTGTTAAGTTGTATGAATTGTATGTTGAATGTATGAATAGCTGGTGGCCGTAATGGCGTGTCACATTGATGGATGTAGATATCAATGTGTGTTGTTTTGTTGCATGGTTGTGTCGCATGCAATACATTTTGTGGACTTTAGTCTTGTTTCTCGATCTGATCCTAGATGGTGTGGATTGCGAGCAATGTGAACCTCATTATTCATGATGTTGGTTAGCTCTGATCCTATATGGCATGGATCGGGAGTGGAGTGAAAAATGATCAATGATAGACAAGCTAGAAAGAAAAATGACACAATCAGTTTATACAAGTTCACCTTAGAAAAGGCTACTCTTGTCCACCGCCAAGGTGATTTTTCCTTAGAAAAGGACTTAATCCACTAATCTTGAAAGATTACAACAACGTCTAAGAGTTTAGAAAAAGACCTTAGTTCTCTCAAGTATACAGACTACAACTTAGTCACTTGAGGAAATAAATCTAGAAAGATTTATAATCAAACAATGTATACAATGATGCTTCTAAAAAGCAGATATAACACTTACAATAAAGAAGAAATATTTACACACAAATATGAGCAACAACTCTTGTGTATACAACAATAATAGTAAAACACAAATATGAGCAACAACTCTTGTGTTTTAGAGAATAATGTTAACGCAAAAATGAGCAACAACTTTTTGTGTTATGAGTTCTGAATATTTTCTCTCTTTGCTTTCTTTTCACAATAACTTTACTTTCTTTCAATACTTCTTCTCTTTTTGAAATTCTTCGTATATGTTCTTTGTTTTCCAATGAAGTAGTCATCCCTTTATATAGGTTGAGAAAGAAGACAGTTGGATAGCACAAACGTCACTTTCATCTGCCAGCTTCTACAACTGTAGCGTGTGATTGTGGGAGACAAGAGCACAACACATCTTTAATCGTACACTATGTTCTTCATAAATAGAAAAAAGGTGTTGTACTGTTGTATTGTATTCTTATTGTGCAAGTTTATGATCTTTTCTTCTGATGAGATACTTCTGATCTGAAGTAGTAAATAGAGTGCAAAAGAGATCATGCATTTGTTCTTTAATCTTCTGATTGAATTATTCTGATGTGAAATGATGTACATTCCAAAAGACGTTTCATTATAATATTTCCAAAGGTATCAGAGTCTTCATAATTACAACCTTGTCTTTAGACTTGGAGCAACAACTTATCTGACAAACAAATCTTGATATCTGAGCTAGAAGTAAAAGCTTATCTGATGAAGTACAACTTTGATTTCTGAGCTTGAAGCAAAATCTTACGCAGAAATTCTTTCCTTAGAAACCTATCTCGACTTCTGAGCTGAAAGAAAAAGCTTATCTGAGAAACATATCTTGGTTTCTAATATGGAGTAAACACATATATTCTCTTCTAGAGAACATTCAACATTCTATCGGAACTGCTGATGTTTCTTGAGAAGCGAATACAATAGTTCTTCTGATGGTGTCAATATATTTCTGATGATTCTTCAGACAACAATCCTGAATCAATTAGAATGCTTTATCTGCACACTCAAAGAAACTATTAGAATACAAAATTGTTACTAGTGCATCTTCATGCACACTCTTCTACTATTATACTTAGGCATTTCCTTAGTTTATTTCTTTAGTTTTTTTCATTTTTAATGTGTTTTCATATTTTAGTTTATTTTTATCTTTAATTGATTTTCTTATTTTATTTTCAACATTAGCAGCTTCTAATGAAAGATTCATAACTCGAGCTATAGGAATTGGATCGACGCGTTCTAATATTTGTTTGAATGCTGAGAGAAAGAGCTACAACTTGTTAGTTGGTTAATTCTTGTTATGTAGTTATTTGGGCTTTTAGCATGTATTTGGGCCTGTGCACTTTGCCTATATAAAGGGTCATTATGTTTGTAATCAACAAAAGGAAGAAATAATAATACATTCAGTTAGAAAGTTAGTTACACTTAACTCTCTCTCTCTCTCTCTCTCTCTCTCTCTCTCTCTCTCTCTCTCTCTCTCTCTCTCTCTCTCTCTCTCTCTCTCTCTCTCTCTCTCTCTCTCTCTCTCTCTCTCTCTCTCTCTCTCTCTTCTTCTTCTTATTTTCACAAAATTATCTTTCTTGAATACTTTGTTCCAACAAATTGGTATCAAGAGCTTGTTTGCGATTCAGAGAGAATCTAATGGCAAACGGATCAACAACATCAACACAGTTTCCAGCGAATCTACCGGTTTTCAAAGGTGAAAACTATCAATAGTGGGTTGCGCAAATGAAGGTTATTTTCAGATTTCAAGATGTCGTAGAAATCTTGAATGAGGAATATCAGAACTGGAAGTAGATGCAACAGAAGCCCAGAAAGTTGTGCACAAAGATCAGAGGAAGAAAGATGACAAGGCATTATTCTTGATTCACCAGTGTGTGGATTGTGACATATTCGAGAAGATAATTGAAGAAGAAACAGAAAAATGAGCTTGGGAAAAGCTAAAATCCTTGCATGGTGGAGATGAGAAACTGAAAAAGGT